CGGAGGCCACTGAGCTGCTGCACATGGCTGACAAAGACAAATTGAAAGCAAAACGTGAGAACGTGGACTTCACAAAGGCCACCTTGGAGGGACGCGTCAAAGCCCTGGGAGAAACCTTGGGAAAGTACAAAGAAAAGATGAAGATTATTCGCGAGCGCAAAGCTCAGGAGAAGCTTGCCAACCCCATGCCGAAGGCAACCCGTGCGAAGGCCAAAGCCAAGAACTAAGCCATTTCTTAGCTCCAAATGGCTAAGATTTTGTGGCACCATTTCCGTTTTGAGGCTTCTGCGTTGGCAGTTGAGAGAAAAAGAACCTTTCTGAAAGAAAGACGCTGCATAGTCGGAGGCAACAGCGTGGCAAAAAAAGCAAGTGGAAAAACAGAGTCGCAGTGTGTCCGGAAGGGTTTGCATCCTATGGATCTCTCTCTCTCTCGCTCTCTCTCTCTGTCTCTCTCTCTCTCTGTGACTCGCTCTCTTTCAGCATGCTCTCTCTCTCTCTCTCTCTGCTGTCGTCTCGCCTTTTGTTTTTTTCGTGGCGGTTTTCCCGCTGTAGGCGCGTGTGGCGGTGTCCCCGCTGTAGATGCATGGGGCGGTGTCTCCGCTGTAGGACCTTAAAAAAATGTCAATATATAGTGTGTTGCCAATATATAGAGGCTCAAATGCCTCCAGCGAAAAAGAGAAAAACCTTGGAGAGTGATGCTGCTGCTCGGTTGCGAAGTTGCATTGGCACCACTGGCGCCTCAGATGCTGCGGTATGTTCCATATGGAATAAAGCGGTGAGTGCTCCAGATGAGAAAGTTAAGCCTGGAACTTTCAAAAAACATGTTCAGAAGGCACTGCAACCTGCCTTAGAATGCTTTGAGAAATTTGCACTACCAGGTGCCAATGGCGAAGACGTGGAAATTTATGTTGCAAATATGGAGAAAATGTTGCATTTTGTGGGAAGCGAGATGCCAAGTCTCGCTGTCTTGTTGGGAAAGGCATTGAGTCAAGGTGCTATTCTTCAGCCCGTTATTTATCATGACGAAGCGATAGCTGGCAATCCGCTATCCGCTGAGAAGGTGATGAAAAGCATGCTCGTTTACCTCAGTTGGAAAAAGCTCGAAAGATCTTTGTTCTGGGAAGATGCATGGCTCTGCGTTTCTTTGATTCAACACAAAGATGCTGACAAGCTGACCTCTGGCTTTAATGGCGTGATGACTCTGCTCGTGAAAGAGCTTTTGCAGCGTCGCTGGGAAATTGGCTTTGGAACCAACCTGAAACTGAGTGCTGTTTCATTAAAATTTTGCTTTTCCAAGATATAAGCTCCAGTACTTGGATATACATATATGTTGTCTTTTTTTTCGCCGCCCAAACCGGTTCATATCATATCTAGGTAAAAAAATATATGTGTAGAAGTATATATATATAGATATATTTAAAGATATATATATAAGCAGAGATACAATCTATATGTATATACATATGTGTGTGTATGCACCACTGAGGAATGGAACGCCTCGATGGTTCAGGCAAAAATCAGAAGCAATTCTGATTGCTGACATGGATGGTTTAAGGTCCAGTCTATGTTTGAAAGGCAGTGCAGGAATCAAACCATGTCTACAGTGTTTGAACGTTGTGAAAAAGGACTCTGGTCTCGATCCAGCTGAATATCCGTCAATTTCTGAAGCCTCCATGAATAAATTCCAACTGGCCACCAATCGCGACATCTGGGACCTGGCGGATGCTCTGCGGAGGTTGGTGGAGGATGGCGCCACAAAATCCACAGTGAGCAAGTTTGAAAAAGCGAGTGGGCTGGTGTATTTTTCCGATGGCCTGTTTTTTGCAGATCAGATTCGAAAATGTCTTCCTCCCAGTGGCGTTTGTGTGGACGCTATGCATGCATATTTTTCGAATGGCGTGGCTTCCTGGGAGATAGCACTTTGTTTCTCCGCAGTGCAGAAGTACACGTCCTGGACCTTGGAAAAAATGAAAGACGCTGCCTTGACAAGTCGATGGACGGGTCCCAAGTGTAGCAAACATTGCTTGTCCTCGTATGTCAAGAGTCTCTTCTCTGAGAAATGTTTCACGGAGACTGTATATAAAGGACAAGCGACACAGACGGAGTCGCTGGTACCTCTTCTGGTGTACTATCTCGTGGAAGGCTGCAGCAGTGTGGAAAATCTACAACCGTACCTGTCAAGTTTCTTGGATTTAGCTGCTTGCTGCGCAGAACTTAAGGGTCTGCCTGGCTAATACGGTCTTTTGCCCACAGTTTTTCTGTCTTTTCATTCTGACATATATTTCAAAACCCTCATGTGTTTTTTTGGACATTCTATTCTGGCATTCTGACCCTTTATATTCTGATATTCCATCTGAGATTTCGCTGTAATTCTTTTGATTTTATATTTGTGTTGCGATCCAATAATTCCAAACATAGTACATTACATAATTCTGAGGATTTTTTTTGTTTGCATTCATTTTCAATTTCCGGCATTCCGACCCTAAGACGTTATTATGAGATTAGAATTTCACCTTAAGTGTTCGTATCCTGGTAATATGTTTCATTTAACCCCAACATTGAATTGCTGAATTTGGTACCAAGATATTGCTGTATTGTTTGTCATATTTGGGTTTAAATTTTGGCACGCATGCATGACTTACCAAGTCAATCTCAACGAATTCAAACAGAAAACTTGAAACTGGAAGACATTGATCGCCATTGTATACATACAAGGGCCTGTAAATCCATATCCAACTAGCACAGTTGGGCTAACATTGATTTAAGTTGTGGCAGTTTATATGTATATATATATATATCAGACCTAAGTTGCACAAACTATTTAAACTAAACCTTGCAGGTTTCATGTCAGGAAGTGGCTGGAGAAGCTCTGGAAACCCTTGGCGCTGTAAGAGTGCCAGCAGAGAGGGCCTGGTGCTGTAAGAGTACCATGCTACGACAGGCCGGGATGCTGCCACTGAATGGCACTGAAAGAGTCGCCATCTATCAATTCAATGGCGCTGTAAGAGTTGCCGTTTTTATCATGGCACTGTAAGAGTTGCCGGTTTTATCCAAGTATGGCACTGTAAGAGTTGCCGTTTTTAAAACCAAGTATGGCATTATTGTAGCTGTTTCAAACCAAGTATGCCACTGTAAGAGTTGCTGTTTTTATCCAAGTATGGCACTGTAAGAGTTATATATAATAAACCCAGCATGGCACTGAAAGAGTCGCCATATAATAAACCAAGTATGGCACTGAAAGAGTCGCCATATAATAAACCAAATATGATGGCACTGAAAGAGTCGCCATATAATAAACCAAATATGATGGCACTGAAAGAGTCGCCGTATAATAAACCAAGTATGATGGCACTGAAAGACTCGCCATATAATAAACCAAGTATGGCACTGAAAGAGTCGCCATATAATAAACCAAGTATGGCACTGAAAGAGTCCTAATAAACCAAGTATGGCATTGAAAGAGTCACCATATAATAAACCAAGTATGGCACTGAAGACTTTTGAACAAGTTTTGACACTGTTTCGAAATGAGTTCATGAATAGATTGGCTCATGCTTTAAAAAAGGAAAACCAATACCAATGCCATGTAAAGTATAACTCTACTAAACCAAGATACAGTGATCAGCAAATAAAACAAAATAGTATGTAAAGCCAATTAATAACAATTTGCCTTAAAAGTTCCACCAACTTTCAAAGCGATTTCCACAATGGAGCCTTTGGGAGACTTTACGCACACACACATATCTCATAAATACATGCATCATGTATCCGTATATCTTTGTTTTTTCTGAGAGAGTGCCAGCAGTCCTGGCTCTGAGAGAGTGCCATGAACCCGTGAGGGTGAGTTTCCACGTTGGGAGGATATGGTGCTCATGATGCGTGTATGGAGGGTGGGGTGGTGGAGCCGGCACTACGGCTCACTGAGCCCGAATCTTGCATTGGATTGGTAGCAAGGTCTCGGCGTCTGGTTTCCGGCACTGAACCAATCCATAATCCAGTGTCTGGTTTCCGGCACTGAACCAATCCATAATCCAGTGTCTGGTTTCCGGCACTGAACTATATCCATAATCCAGTGTCTGGTTTCCGGCACTGAGCCAAGCCAGTATCTGGTTTCCGTCACTGGATTGGTAATAAGGTTTTAAATTAAGCTTCATGAATGGTGTCGGTGACATGAAGTCGCAAACCCATTGGCAAAGAGTGCCTCGAAACAAGCACCAATTAGGCCTTGAAAGAGCGCCAGTAAACAAGATTTCATGGCAACTAGCTTTGAAAGCCTCCTGTTAAAAATCGTTGGCTCTGAACGAGTGCCTGGCATTAAAACCATGCTATATAGCATGGCGGTTTCTAAGACATTTGCTAAGTTTCAATCTGGCGCTGGGAGAGTGCCATGCCATGCTTCAATAAAGGCGCTGGGAGAGTGCCCTAAAGTTGCAAGAGTGTCGAGACAGCGAAACTTGAACAAGTCCAAGTGTTTGTTTCAGGTGGGGCCTCAACATGGGCCAATGTCAACTTCGTATTGGGCTTATTCCTGCCCAACAAATTCATTTTGAAGGGAAGAGAGGTGTTCTGTTTTGCACAGGTACCGCGACAGATTGAGAGGCCTTTCACAATGGAAGGTGGGACAATTGATTATATACTCTATACATGCATTCAAATTATCGATGAATTCCCTTACTACTCAGTTATGGAAGTAATATGGTTGCCTGGGATGATTTGAGAATGCTTCCTTCCCGAAGGTGATTTGTGTACGAAGTCTTGACTTTGTTGCGGCCAGCGACCCAGCTTGAATTTAATTGATGTGTGTGTGTGCGTGAAGCATCTTCGAACGATGTGCAACCTGCAGTGCTGCCAAGCTTTATGGTTTCCTGCAGTGTTTTACAGGAATGTCAATAGACAGAATTTTTGTGTAGCTTATTGCCTACAAGGCCCAGGCCTCCAGCACATTGATTGACATATGAAGGTAGAACCAAAAGATTCTGACGAATTTTGTAATACACGACATGGCATTGTCTGAAACATCGCAGAAGCTTCAGCCAGTAGCTATGACCGATTCTGATGGTGGCCTCAGCCTTCCATCAAATCCTGGAAGTGCCAGTGAAGAAGAAGTTGAACAAGTTGCTGTTAGTAGCCAACTTCCAGGGGAATCTCAGTGTTGTGATGCTGATTGCTTGGATCGCATTGCTTCCATGCCTGAGTACTCCCGGAAAGCTGATGAGATACGACAAGCTATCAAAGAAGAACTTGGATTGGAGAAACGAAATGAATTTCAGTTTCAAGTCCTCAGAACTTGGATGGCCGGTGAGTCTTCGAAGAGCCAGTCCCAGCGACGATATCAGTTTCAAGACTTGCCAATTTGCCGCATAGCAGCTTCTGACATTTTGCAATGCAACAAGGGCAAGGTGACGAAGCTGACCAAGGAGATTGTGGATGGGCGTGTCTCTGCTCCCAGGGACTTGCGCGTTGGAGGTGGCCAGGTGAAGATGACTCGACAGGAGTCGCTCCAAGTGCAGAATGCTGAGACCATGTGGTGCTGGGTCCACAGTTTCTTAGCAGAGCCCCTTGCAGAAGGTGTGGGCAAGGTGAAGTTCGATGTGGCAACCAAAGTCAAGGAGCTTTTGAAAATGGATCCAGTGTCTGGAGTCTTCAATGCTTCCTCCCTGGAGCCCAGACATGTGCACCCGAATGTTACATTGAGTGAGCTGTTGCTTGGCTGTTCGCCAAACTTTTTTTCTTTGCAAATTGGTTTCAAAGATTGTGTTTGGATTCATGTTTTGTGTTGGATCCCATGGCCCATGGATATAGATTTTGAATTCGCTTGTCGGCTTTTTATCCAGGCTGGACGTTGCCAAGAACTTCCTCTCTCACTTGCAGCCACCGCCGTCCTACAGAACTTGGGTCCGAATCTACCATAGATCTTGGGAAAAGGCTGTACGCTTCAGAGGCGAAAACCAGCATAGCAAGTGCAGTGTCTGTGAAGACATGAAAGAGTACAAGCGACAGGCTTCGACTCTGTCTGATGCCAATCTGGTTGCCAATGCTTATGTCCAGCATCTCCACTTGATGCTTCAAGACAGGAAGGCCGATGCATTCTGGAGACAGATCGGTTTTGACAGTGTGAAGAGTGGAGTTACCTTTCTTCATGAAGGAGCATCGACATGGCTCACAATGACAATTGATGGCATGGACTGTGCCAAGTTCAAAGTACCGTTGAACATCAGTCAAAGCAAACTGTTTCAAAGGATGCATCGCCCAGAGATGAAACTGAGCCTGGTTGTCCGCCAGCGTGTGATTAAGTAACGTTTTTGGATTTCATGCCTCCACCCAGTTAGCTGGGCATTGTACTTTTGAATGCTTTTGGATATATATATATAGCTGCGAGTTAGGTGGTAGATGGACTGTTGGAAATCTACAATTTGATGAACCACGACATTCCTACAACTGCCAACTTGGACATCTCTTTGATCAGTGATGCCATGCTGTTGTGCTACAACCGTCTGCATGCAGCGGGACTTCAATTTCCAAAAGACTTGAGGGTCCATGCGGATAACTGTACATCAGAGACCAAGAACCAGGTGGCATTCAAGGCCGGAGCCTTCATGATCTGTCAAGGTTTCTTTGACGTCATTGTTTGGAGTTATTTCCAGACAGGGCATTCCCATGGACTCCCTGACCAGAGATTTTCTGAAGTACGGCACCTGCTGTTCCAAGAATCGACGTTGCAAACACCTTCCGATTTTGTCAAAGTCTTGGAGAAAGTCAAACCTAGACAACAGAGAGAGTTGGCTGTTCAGAGAGTGGAGTGTATGGAAGACTGGAACAAGTTTCTGGAGCCATTGGAAATTACCCTCCACAGCCACAACACTACACGTCGAATGAAACAAGCTGGGCAGCATGCGTGCCACTATTTCCTCATGGTGACTCGGGAGAAGTATGCTCAATTTGGAGATGTTGGCATGGTGGAAAACTTTCAGGATGAGCCGCCCAGCCCAAAGGATGTCGTGCTGGTGCTGAAATCGCATTTGTCCTCGGATGACATCTCACAGAAACCTTTTGTGTTTCTACCGGCTTCTGCTCTTCAGAATCTGCAAGGTTGGCCAGAGTACACGGTTCAACTGAACAAAATGTCCAAGGAGACTGAAAAAGAACTCCGGAAGACCATAGAAAAGGTCACCCAACCACCATGGCACATGAAGGCGGCTGCTGAATACATTGAGCAACTCATTCGCCAATCGGGGTGCCATCCACAATGTGTTCGTGACTCTCACCCACTGGAAGAATTGAAAGCGAAGCTGGCAGATGGAGAATCCAAGCCAGAGCCCGGTGTGTTCAAGGCCAGGGGGTCCAACACAACTTGTCAGTTCTTAATTAACATCCAGTGAATACTATCAAGAACCTACTACCCGGGTTCTAACACAGTAGTATGTTAGAATGCCGATAAATGATGTGATGTTGCGAATTCCGATGGCTGATTCCGAGGCATCAGACATGGACTTTTGGAAGACGGACCCTGCGAAAGTGGAGGTGAAGAGAGCGGCAAAGAAGAGATCTGCAGCGAAGTCTAAGGCAGCTGTGCCTGTGAGTGGCGCCCAGCCTTCACATGCAGCGGTTGCAATCGACCTTCCCAGTGGAAACGAGGATGAAGCTGCTCCTGCTGCAGGACCTGGACTTCCAGCTGGCCCGAGGCTGGTTGAGGACGATGATGTTCCAATGTCTTTGCCGAGCCCAGCCGAGAGTATTCATGATGAAGACCCTGGGCATGGGCGTGGGCGTGGGCGTGGCAGGGGCCTCAAGAGGCCTGCTGCAGCAACATCAAAATCTGTGCCAAAGATGAAAAAGCCAGCGGCGGCTGAGTTGAGGCTAGCTGCACCGGCAGCATCAGATGCAGCTCCACCAGCAGATGCAGCCCCACCTGCAGATGCAGCCCCACCTGCAGCAGCAGGGGCTGATGAGCCACAGGAGGGTGGCAGAGTCCTCAAGATCCGTGGAGCGTTGCAAGTTGTGCTGGAGGAAGGCATGACATTAGGATGCCCGAAATGCAGGGATTCCAAAGTTGGATGTCGCACTTGCAGGATGGCTCAAGGCCTCCGACTGATTGGCAGCATCTTGGCTAGATTTGATTTATTTTTTTGGAGAAGCCTGCCATTGTTTTTGATCCACTCTGGATAAACCGAAGTTATTATTCTTAGATTGTAGTAATACTAATACTAAGTTATTCATTTTCTTGGGTGCTCACAGATCACCGACTGACCGAGATACTTGGAAAAACCATGAGCGATGATTATCTTGGTGGATGACGGCTTTCTTGCAGTACCAATTTTGATCTGAAGTTGCTGGCATGCTGACAGCTCCGAGCTCCCATGGAACAAACAGGGCCTCGCTGTCTCTGTGGCTCTGGTGCTGGAAGAGTACCGGCTTTTTCAGTCCAGCAAGTTTCTCTAAGCCATGAATGAAATCACAATCATTTGAAGATAGTAAGCTGCTCTGCATTTTTCAAGTCAGTGGCCCAACACTTTCAGGACTGACTGCCTCGTCGTCTGGGTCCAGAAGTGCCCCTGCCAAGCCTCATTTGATTTCCAACTTGTGTGAATGTCCTGTATCAAGTTGCCAAGCTTGTCAGTGAACACTGTTTTTGGCACAGAATCTGTGGCCCAAGTAAGCTGTGGTTTCGATAGCTGTGCAAAACAGCTGCAGCTTCAGCTATGCCGGCTGTTCATTCATCGCGTTTGTGTGATGATGATGTGGTCATGGTTTCCAGTGATGATGACCTAGAAGACAATGTGGAGATTGTTCCAACCATTTCACCAAGACATGGCCATCCAGATGATCGTTTTTTTCATTTCATGGAGATCTACAGCCCCTTCAGGGTAGCTGCAAGCATCCACAAAATGGGAATGGCTTCAGCTGCAAGCCTGGATGTCATCAATGGTTGCGACTTACTCACGACAGATGGAAGGATGATAGCCCTAGCACTCCTGGCCGAAAGACGGCCGATGTTCTTGATGACATCTCCTCCTTGCACAATGTACAGTGAACTGACCCGCCTTTGGAATGCTGCCAAGATGAGTTGGGAAGTTCGTGCCCTTCGACAACGTGATGCGGACCACATGTTGAAGTTTGCCTTAGAGATGTGCCGTATACAGGGCAAGGCTGGGAGGTTGTGGTGCCATGAACATCCCGGGCTTCAAGCTGGAAGATGGACATTGCATCTTGTTCTTGCTTGTGGTGGATTCTTTTGTGTAATGTAATTTTTAAATCATTAATTATTTAACAAATAAAGATCAAATATCATTCATCCAATGGTCAGACTTAGTAGCATTTACTTTCACTGTCACATTCCATTTTTTGTGGAAAACTTGGGAGTTGGATAAGGTAAAGCAATTGGCTTCCCACCCAGACACGAAGATGGTGACGTTTGACCAGCTGCTTGGCCTTTATAATTGCAATGCAAGAGTTACCGATCATGTGGCACTGAAAGAGTTGCCAATCATAAGGCGCTGCAAGAGTTGCCAATCGGCACTGAAAGAGTTGCCAATCATAAGGCGCTCCTGGTGATCAACTCTGCAGTTCCTGGCGGGTGGAGTCTGGGGCGCCATATCGCTTTCTTGCAGATGGCTTTCTTGTAAACAGCAGTCACTGTGCTCACTCACTGTCTATTTCTGCTTTTCAACCTATTTTTCAGTGCTGGTGCAATTTCAGTTTCATGGCATTCTTTCAGAGCCAATTCAATTTGACTTTCGTGGCGCTCTTTCAGCGCCAATTCGATTTCAGTTTCATGGTATTCTTTTAGGGCCAATTCAATGTCACTTTCATGGCGCTCTTTCAGTGCCAACTCGATTTCACTTTCATTCACTCTTTCAGGGCCAATGCAATTTCACTTTCATGGCAGTTCATTTTTAAATGTTAATTTCAATTTCTAGGCGCTCTTTCAACGCCAGTTGATGGCACTCAGGACCAGTTCAACGGCATTTTTAAAGGACTGATTCATGACATTGTTTCAGTGTCAATTCATGGCGCTTAGTTAGGTTTGTTTGGTTTGAAGTTTCATGGCACTCTTTCAGTGCCATACGTGGTTTATTATATGGTGACTCTTTCAGTGCCATACTTGTTTTATTATATGGCGACTCGGTTTATTATGACTCTTTCAGTGCCATACTTGGTTTATTATGACTCTTTCAGTGCCATACTTGGTTTATTATATGGCGACTCTTTCAGTGCCATATTTGGTTTATTAGGACTCTTTCAGTGCCATACTGTGTTTATCATATGGGGCCTCTTTCAGTGCCATACTTGGTTTTTTAGGACGCTTTCAGTGCCATACTTGGTTTATTATATGGCGACTCTTTCAGTGCCACACTTGGTTTTTTAGGACTCTTTCAGTGCCATACTTGGTTTATTATATGGCGACTCTTTCAGTGCCATACTTGGTTTTTTAGGACCCTTTCAGTGCCATACTTGGTTTATTATATGGCGACTCTTTCAGTGCCATACGTGGTTTATCATATGGCGACTCTTTCAGTGCCATACTTGGTTTATTATATGGCGACCTTTGCAGTGCCATACTGGTTTTATTATATAGCAACTCTTACAGCGCCATACTTGGTTTACTCTAAATATCTCTTACAGTGCCATACTTGGAAAAACAGCAACTCTTTCAGCGATCATACTTGGTTTAAAACAGCTACGGTGCCATACTTGGCTTTAAAAATGGCAACTCTTACAGTGCCATACTACTTGGTTAAACTTTGACAACTCTTACAGTGCCATACTTGGTTAACAACGGCAACTCTTTCAGTGCCGTATTGGAGTTTGCAAACGTTTATTGATTTCACCATATGGTAGCATGGTACTCTTACAGTACCAACCCCTCTCTGCTGGCACTCTTACAGTGCCAAGGGTTTCCGGAGTTTCTCCCGTTGCTTCCTGACATGAAACCTGCAAGGTTCAGTTTAAATGTAATAGTTTGTGCAACTTAGGTCTGGTATATTAACTGCCGCAACTTTAAGTAGGATTGTTTGCTTGTGCCTGACCCAACAAATTGAAACCCAACATGCAAATGAGCTTCCAACATACAACACCGTGGTTGATTCTCTTGAATACTATACCATTCATCTTCATCCAACCCAACCCAGCTCAATCCAATTCAACCCAACCCAACCTTTGAAAACATATCAGCAAAACCAAACTCAAAAAACCAAATTATACTAGGCAAAAAGCTGAATTAGCCAGGCGGACCCTTACTTCGCAAGCTGCGGTACCAATGGAACAAAGTGTCTCCTGCTGACATGGTGCCGTTGCAAAGAGCGCAAGAAATTCATCAAAGAAGTTTTGTTACGTGCTACTCGGTCGACCTGGTGAAACCCAAACACCACCATCGCATGCACGTGCCTCAGGCCTTTATCAAAATGTCGCTTGCGTTGCAATGTGAAACGCATGAGTCGAAGCATCGCAATTACAAACATGGTTTGGCAGAACGTATGAAGTCGACCTCCCAAGATGGCTTCCAGAAAAGCATGTTGCCCAGATTACTCTCCAACCAGGCAAATCGAGTTCAAGAACAACCACTGGAACCCTTGAAGCTGGTACCGCCATTCCAAGATGCAGCACAGGTACTCAAAGATTTGGCCAGAGATCAAGGCCTGAAGACCGTGAAAGCTTTGCGTTACTACCAGTCCACTGTGCACCCTGATGACATTTTATATCTTGCAGATGGAACAGCAGGTCTGGTGCAAACGATCTTAGCTGGACATGAAAACTACTTTTGGCTGCACAGGTTGCAACTTGTGAGAACTCACAGATGGGGAAAGGTGTGGAAAACGTCCAGCCAATATCATCTAATGCCAATCCTTGCACAAACTTGGACACAGCCGCCGTGGTGGCGATGGGATCAAGATCAAGTTGCTTGCTTGCTGTGAAGAAAAAAGCGTGATCAGTCAGAGAATGTGGACGTCACTAATACTTGTCTTGAGGTCTATTCGAAAAACACTGTATACATTCTGAAAATAATCCTCCACTGATAAAACACAAATACAACATACCTCTAACCATCTACACTGATATTCAACGGCGATGTCGTAGGTGGCGGGAAATTCGCTGTAGGTATAAATGGCGGTGTGCCCGCTGTAGGATTGTAACAGTGTTGCTGCTGAATAAACAAATATCACAAACATCAAACTACATCATAAACAAATTGAAAAACCTTCAAAAATCATGGATTTTCTCAAAAAACGAGCATCACAAGCCTTCAAAAATTTGGTTTTCTCAAAAATTTAAAAAAGTCATAAAAAAAGACTTTTGAAAAACGTGCGCCCTACTTAGGCTACTTATATGTAAGGATTTATGTCGTGATAAGTAATCTAAGATAAGTCAGGCATAAGTAAGGTATATGTAAGTTATAAGTAATTGATGTAAGGCAAGTAAGGAAGAACCTTGTGGTAGCGACCCGACCATCGTCTATTCCAGCTTCAGGATCTGATTTGGCAATCAGGTAGTCACCAGTGATGTGATCCCCGAACTTCTTTGCATCGACCATGGATGAACCCCTTTTGAGTATCCTGGTGGTTTGTACATCTTGGCCTTTGTACAGACGTCACAATAAGGATTCTTGGGGACATGAATCAACATATGTCGCTTACTTTTGGCTTCGGCCTTCAATGCAGCCTTTCCCCTCTCCCTACGTCTTTCCATTTCAGGATCATGACGATCAGCCCTATCTTGTACTTCTTCATCCTCAGGCTGGACCTCCCCGTCAGCAGGTACCACACCTTCCTCGTCGGACGGCGCATCAGCTCCGGGGTCTTCATCATCGGGCTTTGAGGAACCACCACCTACGATAGCGGGTTCATCATCTTCATAATCTGTGTCATAATAATCGGGAGATGGGGGCGCATCATCCTCGATGTCGTCTACTTCAGGCCTAGGTGAACTAGCCATAACCTTCACTCTTTGCAGAGGAGTTCTATCATTGTTGGATTTGGCAACTGCTGACACATTCATTTTGTTCGATTTGGAACACAGGTATGGGACATAGTCTCTGACTTCAAGTTCAATGACCTGTCCATCAGGTGAAACTAAACGTGGCTTCTCGTTCTTGGAGCCCCTCCAGATGAAGTCAAATCCGTCCTCCACGCATCTAAGACCAACTGATAAAACAGGAGGCGAACTTTGCACTAGGTACGGTGACATAGTGGCATTCAACTCAGGAACCTTGACCTTGCCTTGCTTCATGGACGAACTTTCCCCATTGGCTGTGATGAGACGGATTGGATTGTCAGAGTAGTACCCGTAGTGGTCAGAAACGTGATGATCAGTGAGAAGGTCATGAGCACTACCAGTATCAACTATCCAATCAATGGAGGCTTCAAAACATCCGTCGACATATTCCTCAGACTTGGCTGGCATAGCAACAATCCCTTTGGGAATACAATGGTCACACCCAAACATGGTGTCACATTCATAGTTGCATTTACAGTACTTGTTCATCAACGAGTTCTTGACTGCGCCAGCTAACATGTTTGCCGACAAGCAAACATCCTCCCTATCCCTCTCATCGAAATCAAACGGATAACCAATTGGGTAGGTTCGTCTATACTTCCTTGATGCTGGATTGACAGGCACAAGGTCCCCCTCGGCAATGACTTGAAACACGTCGTGATTGGTGTTGAATGTCACTGCGGGGCAGCTGATCACATGGGTAGGTGGCAGCAGGCATGCGTTGGAAACGGATGCAAGCATCGATGCAATCAGGCAAACAGCCGCTGGGGATGCTTTGGGAGTTTCAGGCTTACTCTTGTTCCCCTTTGGGGAACGGCTGTTCCTTGGACTCCTAGATCTCTTCTGCTTCGGAGAATGATCCCTGCCTTTGCCTGGGCTCCTGCTGTTCTTCCGTCTTGATCCTTTCGAGTCATTCGAGGACGGCCTGGCAGGAGTCGCGGCACGGGGAGATTTTGATTGCTTCCCCTCATGGCTAAATCGACACTCACTACCTCTATTGCATCTGCCTTGTTTCCAAAACTTACATGGCTGCTTTTTCTTGTTCTTTTCATTTCTATCTCTGGATGGTGATCTGCCTCTTTCAGAGGGCGGTCTTGACTGACTTCTATCCTTCTTTGGAGGAGGTTTCTCATGTTTGTATGCGCAGGAGTCGTTAGTACACGTGCCTTTATTCCACTTGACACAGTGCCCCTTTGGAATGTACCCCGTCTTCTCGCCGACTGCAGGTGCGGCGCTCGATGAGGAGGCACCGAGGGTCCTTGCTACTCGTTCACGGTTGGACTCGAGGCGTTCCCTGTCCAAGTACTATGGTGCTCCTATAGACTTATAAGTAGTTATAATTTTAGTTTTACAAAAAGTTATGAAAAGTTATGAAGTGAAGCAAATATCAACTATTTTGTCACATTTTTATAATTTAGAAAACTTGAAAAAACATTTGTTTTTATTGTATCGAAAACAATATTTTTTCTAATTATAGCGGTTGAGCCGCTTCGAAGTTGTTTTTTTTGAAAAATGCGCGGTTTTCACCGCTTCCATGGCTGAGGGAATGTGCAACTGGTTTTTAAACAGAACAGGCCACTGTGGGAGCGCGCCTTTTTAGGTGCTTTATGCACCTGCAATGGGTTAGTTTGCTCTTTGCAATCTCACCTTTGCAGTTTCTTTTCTTTTTACAAAGACAAAAAAAGAAACCAAAAAACAAAAAAAACAAGAAACAAAAAAAAACCAACAAACTGCATGTGACCCCCTCCCCTTGGGGTGTGCAATCTTGTTTTTTTTGTCGTTTTTTTGTTTTTTTGGTTTCTTGGTGTTTTGCTTTCTTGGTTCGTTGTTTCTTTTGAGGGACTGGCAAAAAAGTGGCAGGATCTAACTCTTTGCAACTTTTCACCCCTTAGGCATTGCAAATTTGTTTGTGGTTGTTTCTGCTTGTTTTAAGTCTCTGGTTCCATTAGAAACCATGTAAAAGCCAAGGAAAAACAGGTATCCTTGGGGGAAGGTTAGGGGCTTGGGGCATGGATTAAGCAATTTTGCCTCTGACTTATTTTTGAAAACATGCCAGAAGACTATGAAAAACAAAGGCAGCCAATGAGTACTTTTTTGATATTGACATTGCTGACTATAAATCCCAGTTCCCGTAGTACATCCCAATATATCCCACCCATATGGGAATGTCTCAAAATGAGGCGAGCCTTTTTTTTAAAGTAGCATTTTGGGGGTCAAAAAGGGCGCGCCTCATTTTGAGACGTCCCCATATACCACAGAGGTCTTTACAGGCTTGGGTGAGGGACTGAGGGATTGGATTAGATTAGATTGGATTAGATTAGATAGATGGGATTGGTTTGGCTTGGCTTGGATTGGATTGGGTTGGATTGGATTAAATTAGATTAGATAGATTGGATTGGCTTGGCTTGGCTTGGATTGGATTGGGTTCGATTCGCTTAGATTAGATAGATTGGATTGGCTTGGCCTGGCTTGGATTGGATTGGATTGGGTTGGATTGGACTGGATTGGATTGGATTAGATTGGATTAGATAGATTCGATTTGATTGGATTGGATTGGATTAGATTAGATAGATTGGATTTGGGTGGGTTGGATTAGATTGGGTTGGGTTGGATTGGATTAGATTAGATTAGGTTAGATTGGATTGGACTTGGTTTTGTTGGATTGGAAATAGATTGGATTGGATTGGATTGGAATTAGATTAGATTAGATTAGATTGGGTTGGATTAGATTAGCTTAGATTAGATTAGATTAGGTTGGATTGGATTGGATTGGATGGGGTTGTTGGATTGGATTGGATTGGGTTGGATTGGATTGGATTGGATCAGATTAGATTAGATTAGATTGGATTAGGGAGTGTACCAGTATACCACCAGTTTGCCACCAGTATACCACCAATATACCACTAGTATACCACCAGTATACCACCAGTATACCACCAGTATACCCTCAGTGTACCTCAGTATACCACCAGTATACCACCAGTATACCACCAGTATACCATGGTATACGGTCAGTATACCATGGTATACGGTCAGTATACCATGGTATACGGTCAGTATACCATGGTATACCGTAGTATCCCCAAGTAAACCCCAGTTTCCCCTAGTATATCTCAATATATCCCACCCATATACCACAGAGGCCTTTACAGCACTTCAATAAGATTGGATTGGATTGGAATTAGATTAGATTAGATTAGATTGGGTTGGATTGGATTGGATTGAAATTACATTAGATAAGGTTAGATTAGAGTAGGTTAGATTGGATTGGATTGGGTTGGATTGGAATTAGATTAGATTAGATTAGATAGATTAGGATTGGATTGGAATGGATTGGGATGGGTTGGGTTGGATTGGACTGGATTGGATTAAAATTAGATTAGATCAGGTTAGATTGGATTGGATTGGGTTGGATTGGAATTAGATTAGATTAGATTACATTAGATTAGATTGGATTGGCTTGGATTGGATTAGATTAGATTGGATTAGATTAGATAGATTGGATTTGACTGGATTGGATTGGATTGAACTGGATAGGATTTGATTGGATTAGATTTGATTTGGCAAGATTAGATAGATTGGATTGGATTGGATATGATTGGAATGGATTGGACTGGATTGGATTTGTTTGGGTTTGATTGGATTGGATTGGATTATATAGATGAGATATATCTGGATTGGATTGAATTGAATTGGATTAGATTAGAGTAGATTAGATACATATATCAATGAAAAGTAATCCAGGTTTCCACGAATGCTGCTTTTTGAAAGGAAGATTGTGTTGCCATAAAGGACAATGCTCTGTTGTAAGGAGCGAAAAAACATTCTGAAAGAATCTCACATTTCAAAACATATTGCACTTTTGAAAGGGATGCTCTATGTCAAAAATACTGCATATTGTGCAGCAATATTCGCTTTTCTAAAAGGGATACTGCTCCTTTGAAAGGAAGGTTAGAGATGTGGAAATAACAAGATTTCCTTTGAAAGGGGCCCCCAAGGTGAAAGAGGTCCTGGCCAAGAATGTTCCTTATGCGCGCGAAGCCCCTAAGATTAATTTCGACCGAGTTTTTCATACAAAGGCAAAAACTTGGTCGAAATTAATCTTGGAGGCTTCTAGGCCAGGACCCCTTTCACCTTGAGGACCCCTTTCAAAGGAAATTTTGCTAAATGCACACTGTACTCCTCCAGAGGGCATGGTGTATCTTTTAAAGTAACATTTGATATTTCATAGGGATATTGTTCTGCAAAAACACACTGCGTTGCTCCAAGGGAAGATTGCACTTATGAAGAAGGGTATGCTGCATTTCTGTTTTGAATACTGCATGCATTTGTTGGCAGGTATGGGTATGTTGATGTATATTGTAATTACGTTGAAGACATCTAGGATATCCTGCAAAAATTGAGTTTTGTCAAAGGGACACTGCAGCATTTAGCCAAGGTAAAGTGAACACCTGGACGCTTCTTCAAGCAATACATCCTCTCTAGTGGACATGAACACATCTTCATTCACAGTTTGGGTTTTAACACGTGATTAATTATAGTGTTTGACATGCTGAAAACAGCTGTTCCAACAAAAACAGCTTTTAGCGGTTTGAAAATCGCTCCATTTGGCATTTTTTTGAGCAGTTGAAAACGCTTCAAACAGCAAACACTCAAAATCATCAAAAAGATCCAAATTTGATCACTTTTAAAGACACTTTTTTATAGCAAAAAAAAAGTTACAAAAAGTTAGCTAAGAAGTTATGACTTAGTAACTTAGATAGAACTATAGGTTATAATTGAGTTACTAATCTATAGGAGCACCATAGTAACGGCGCACTGCTGTCACGAGGAAGTCGTAGGTCTTCTTTTCGGACCCTTCCTCGGCACGGTGATACTCCTGCAGATCGTGTGCGATGGCTTTGCTGTTTTCAACTTGGTTAAAGAACAGAGTTTCCAGAATACTGACTTCCGGCACCTTTGGAATTCCAGCCATGACTTGATCCCAGTTACTGATGAACCCACGAAGATTGTCACCTTTGAGTTTGACGCTAAACAGGTCTTGCAGAGAATACGTCGCACCATGTTTGATGTTGGTACTGAAGTGTTCATGCATCATAAGCAATACCTGGCGACCCCTGACATACCTATGGTTGGTAGCCTCAGTCTCTTTATAGGTGTCAACCATTCGATCGCGCAATCACCGGTGAGAATGTTGGTGAGGGCTGACAACAGTTTTGCATCCAGAGTGGTAAATTTGACCTCGGAGAACCTCTAATGTTTGACCTTCCTTCCATATCTCACTATTCCAACCAAATGCTTTGTCCGGGTTGGTTGGGGCTGACATGACGGCTTCCCTAGTTCGGATTCTCCAATTCCTATAGGATTCTGCATGAGGGAATGCCGGCACTTCGATAGTGTCTGCCTCTTTGACTTTATTCCTGTCACTTGACGGACCTTTGGGATTGCCAAAAAGGGTTCTCATTCTTCGGATGAATTTGCGGTCGCTGTCATCTGAATCACCATCGTCGTCATCTCCATCATCGTCTCCATCCCCAGGCCCACCTCCCGGTGGGCGTCTGCACCCCTGAGGGGGCTTCTTCCCACGCTTGTCCTTCTTGTCAAGTCCAGGTGCTTCACTACCTTTCGAATCATCATCGCCTGGAGGGTCATCCCCAGGTGTTCCACCTCCCGCTCCGCCTCCCCTCTCTGATGGTGCAGGGCTTGTCGGCGGAAGAGTTGGAGACCTGAGACCTGTGATTTCCGTGACTGGATCGAATGCGTCGGCTGCAGGTGCACTACCATCTTGGTCTATCATTTCCCACATATCTTGGTTTGGCGCAGCAGGCTTCGATGCACTTGCGGATGCAAACGAACTCAGCGGTACAGTCATTTTGACCTCAGTTGTCGGCGGGATGGTGGCAGTGGCAGTCTGGACAATTGGGACAGGTAATGGACCAAAGGTATTTAGGAGTTTACTCATCCTCATGTTCATGAACTCGGTTTGCAACTGTTGGGCTTTGATCTGCTCACTTTGTTGCTGGATGATGGATTCAAGCTGCGACAATTGCATCTTCCGGCTTTCGTCCTGTCGTTCATAGTGGTCCTTCAGTGCTTAAATCTGCTGGTCCTTGGTGGCGTTCGATTGTCTGGCATTTCCGTCCAAAACCATCTTGACACTTCTCCTTGTTGTGCAAGTTCCTCACGGTATTGGCTTTCATGACTCTCTGCAAGTTTCATCAACTGATGCATCCGGACACTTGCAGCTTCTTCCTCGGCTTGAAACTTGCGGCTCATCTCGGATACCATCGTCTGAGCCACGTGCTCGGTATTTGCCAGAGCCTCACGATGACGTGCTTCAGCAACCTGTTCCACCATGTGTGCAATAGCATGATTATGAGTATTCACATGCATCTCATTGTGAAACTTGTTGGAGGTTCATCGTGTTGTGCACTTCACTTGTTTCATGGACCTCAGTATGGTTCAAATGCATATGAGCTGAGCTCGCTGGCATGCCCTCCCGGGATGCGTGAAAGTCGTACCCGCGGTGTGAAAACCGAGTTGTGTCAGGCTGGGGCAAAGTTGCGCCACGAGACATCAGGGTGTTGACCTCACGCTTATCACTCCGAGAGCGTTCGGAGGGAGTCTGTGTACCCGATCCGACTGGAACATCTTCTGCAGTTTTGTCCGTGTCTGCGTCCTCAATGGCCATGGCTTCGACAACTCCGGATGAGCGAGTGCCTTCTGGTGATGGTTTACCAGAAGGGGCAGACATTAGTGACAAAAAGGAAAGTCTGTGGCGATACGGCTGATAACCTATATTTCAAGGTTAAACAGCCTAGTTCAGCCACAAAGCGCACACTGTTTTGGTTCTTGAGCCAAAAAGTTATGGTGCAATGTACATGGACAACAGATGACCTACACAGGGAGGTATTGGGAAGCAAGTGTTATACATCCCGTAAAAACATATTATATGCATATGCGTGTGTAAATAGAAGTGTATACTTATTTATGTATCTATTTAATTATATATATATATATATTCAGTTCTTTATATGTTGATATGTGTGCGTGTGTCACATACATAGGAGAGTTTGGATTTGTGGCCCACTGAATGACATGCGGCAGGATGGGCTGGCTCAACAAATTGAACAGTGGCGACTGACATCATCACCATCCAAGAATATAAAATGGCAGCGATTTTGCCAAAAAAAACATGTCCCATTCCCCCAACCAAATGCTGTCTGGGGTGTATGTTAGCTTGGGGGATGGTGAACCGCGCCTAGCTTGCACGCAGACCAGTATGAGGAGAACTCCAAAGCAGCCAACACTGAGAACTGCAGTTGACAGGGAAGGGAATAGAAATTGCCTGCTGCCGGTCACACAACACGTCAATTGGGATCATGCTCGATATCATCCCAATTTTCGGGATGTGCGATAAGAAACTTTAAAAACTCTTTAAACATGTGCAAACTGCACACGTGAACCAATAAGGATGTGAAACCACCATCTCATTCATCCATGGCCAAACTCTCCAAAAACTCTGCTACCATCCAAGCTGCAGTTGATTTGATGCCACGATCACTCCTGACAACAAGCCGCCATAAAGATCCACAAGGGCACAAAAAGAGAACAGCAGCTGGCCACACCTTCCGAAAGCCATCTGACCCAACATCCCCCAGTCGCGGCTGACCATTGGCACATTCATCTCGTTGGCTCGAGCGTCCACAAGGCGGAAGAGAATACCTGAGAAATGGTTTGTCTGCCTTGGCAGGAAAAAATGGTGAACAAATGACATTGGTTTGGGTGATTCTTAAAGTGTCTAGGGTTTAAAGTGATTCAATGACGGTCTGTAACTATCGGAAAAAAATGTTGTGACCGTTCAGCTCTAGAAATAGCCGTTTAGGTGTTGGCTGTGCTTCAATTCGTTTCCCATCTGTAAAGGTGAGATGTTTAGAACACCATGCCAAGCACAGGTAAAACAACTAGCGCAAGTGCAAGCGCTTTTTCTCGGGGGAACTTGCGTCACCATACAGCTCAAGGCCTATTGCCCATGGAGCCAGAATGTTAAGGGATCATGGCATCAATCAAATATGGCTCATGCTGTTGCGTGAGATGTCAGCCCCTGATAATATTTGTGGGCCATATTTGGATTTCTGCCGGTGATCGCCTTGTCTACCTTCTGCTAGTGTCGCTTCTTCGTCTTGGATTCGAAAGGTGCTGGAGCGAAGCAGTTGCATCATTGGGACTTCGTGGGCGCCATTCAACTTGGTGAGCATGTCAGAGGGATTCTTGTTGTGAGGTACCCATCTAACACGCCCTTGACATCTGGTCAGTGAATCTTGGATGATTGCGATCTCCAAAGCTGACCTGTCATCCTCACCAGTTGCCTGTTCAGTTGCAGAGGCGTCGAAAACAGATTTTGCATCCACGATAGCCAAACTCAAAGGATCGCTGTGCAATGGATCGTCGCTTGCAACTACAGTAGGTTCACCACGTAGGCCCAAATCATCTTTGTCCTCATGCTGCTTTCGCACATCATACCTTGAAAGACGAATGCTGTCCCAGAAAGCAATCTGCTTTTCTATAGGGCTCCCAAAGCGGTTGATAGGGAGATTGATTCGCACAACATTGTGCTCCGAGCTTTTCGGCGTAAGCGCCGTGATCTCCAGGAAATAAGGGACACCGGAGCTCCAAGGCCACGGCTCAAATCTCTATTTGTCATTCCTTGAATCCAACCATGCTGCGGCTTGGTGCGACCCGATGGATCGAATGCAGCATCTGAGATAACAAAGTGTCGGATCTCGGATTCAGGTATGCTGTGGATCTTGAGCTTGACCGAATGGCTCTTGACGCGTTGCACCACCTTGTTGGTCTCAATCGCGTCCATCACGGTTGGCCCAGGAAAACATCCTGCAAGGATTGATGCGGCTGCTGCAGCATCTGGTCTGCCTTCCCTCGAGGACCAATTCAGGCTGGCTATGGTGCCTCGCAGTTGAGATTCCTCGGAGGGGTTCAAAGGCGTCTTTTTGGCGTCCTTGATCAGGATTTTCCTTTCCAGAGACACTGGTTTCAATCTTCCTTGCACATAGTCATCCATGCTGTAGACATAGGAAAAGTCAGCCATCTGCTGGATTCTTCGACCGGCATAGGCTGTCCCTGAAGGTTCATCTTGTAAGACAACTGCCTTTCCAAACCGTAGGCGATCTTCCAACCATTGCATTCGCTTGGCATGTTCTTCACCTCCGGCTTCAAGAACATCATCAATTTCGATGACCAGAATGCCCTGTGTCTCCGCTCCCTCGGCACGGCTTTCGCTGTCGAGTGTGAGAACACATCTGTCAAAGGGGCAAATCCGATAGGCAAGTTGTTGCGTGAGGATCTTCAGGAAAGACTTTCGCCACCATGATGGCCCACTTACAAGTCCATATACTTCTGTAAGAAGCATGATCAGCTGTTCTGGATCGCACTCAGGAAAACACCCATCTGGAGGCTGAGTGCAGCATAGTTTCTGCTTTCTTGTCGTTGGAAGTGATTGGAGAAATGCAGTCTTTGCGTCTTTGACCTTTCCCTTCCAACGTCGTGTTGCAGAAAGCTGAAAGAACATGTAAAGGCTTGTGGTCAATGGAGTTGGAGCGCTTCGTTCAATGCTATGGACCATTGGATCCATCCAGCCCACAACACACCAGCGAGATTTCGCCGAAACTCCATCATCATTCATCGGCTCATAGTCCGGTGCATCAAAGGCTTCTGGTAGCACTGAAAACTTGTCTCCATTTGGTTTCCAACGGTCAACATATCTTGAGGCTAAAACATGGTCTGGATGTTGACGTCGGAATTCACGGCTCTCCTGCACAGACAAAATCTTGATGGCTTTGTTGTCCAGCAAGGATTGAACTTCTTTCTTTCGTGCTTTTTCAAAAACAGCTCGATGTTCCGGCTTGAGATGCCGAAACTCAACTTGGCCAGGAGTCAGGTAAATGCACTGGTCTGCATAGCTGTAGGAGCCCTCTGCCTCATCCACAGTGAACTGCTCATTGGAAATTGGCGATAAGCTGCCTTGGCCAGTTCGCTTGTCACTCCACCAAATCGCTCCATCTTTGCCCTTGGTCCAATTGGTGTGTCGGGACCGTAGGCCTTCAAAATCAACAACTTCTGAATACAAAGAGGTACTGGTAGTGTCCTCTGCAGGATCATGCGCTGCTGTTGAAGATGGCGTGGAAGGTGGTCTTGAAAAAGGATAAGGATAGGGCGCGACTCGTGCTGAGTCAGCCCTGGAGACCCGTCTGGATCTCAAGACTCCGCCAGCTCCTTCATCAACCATGATTGAAGATCTCCGGCTCTGAGTTGGCAAGCTATCTTCTACTGGTTCAAGTTGTGACACCTGGCGTGATGGCTCTGCGTGCTGGCATCTCCAAGATCTCTGTCGATCTCATCGATGACAATGGCGTCCTCCCCATCTGGTGTTGCAATAGGTGTTGTTGGAGCCATGCTGATGTCATCGGGTTCATCCATGGTGTCATCTTGTAATTGACCATGTTCTGGGATTGCAGGTAGAGCGCTTGGATGAGCTCCATCGACCAACCTCTGTTGATCGGAAATGGCTTCAGTGGTGATTTCTAGCTGTTGATCTTGGTCAGGGGTTGGCTCGGCAGTCAAGTCATGAAAATGCCTCACCTTGCCGTCCTTAATGTCCTTCAACATTTCTGACGACAACTCCCGGATCAACTCAGCTCCAAGGTGTTCTTCCGAAGTGGCTGGTCGTAGATGTTCACGAGAGGCTTTCAGCAAATGGCCACGTAGTGAAATCCAAAGTGACCGCTCTGTTGGTGAAATCGCCAGTACCACTCCAGGACCAGACCACCCTGAAAAACCAGGAATGCTTCTCCAAACAAATACCCAATCCCCCACCGACAGCTGCTTCATGTCAGCCTTTCGGGTCATGGCCTTTACAGACCGTCTCACTGCATCAACATCTTGTTGTCGAACCCAAGCAGTAGCTGCAGCATCACGTATCTCCCAGCTCTTCTGCATGTCTGATGAAGCTGAGGCCTGCAGCAAAGTTGGATTCATCAAATCATCCGAAACAAGACTTGCTGGAAGTCGAGGATTCACTCCAAAAGCTCGTTGATATGGTGAGAAGCCCGAACGGTGGAAAAAGCGGTTTCGTGCTATCTGGGTTTCTTTGATGCAGAGGTCAAGGTCATGCTTGGTCATAGCTGATGTCTCTTCCAAAACCAAGTGCAACTTCTCCTTGAACAATCCACCAGCTTTCTCAGTTCGAGAGTTCTGCCATGGTGAGTGGGTGTCAGTGAAGTGCACCATGATGCCTTGTTCCATCAGCCGTTGTGAAAATTCTTCTCCAAAAAATCTCGACCCTGATCTACAATCAAAACCATAGGAATTCCAAAAGGTGTAAGCCAGCAGCGAAGCAATGCTTGATGTGTGGATTCCGCATTGACTTCCTCCAGCCTCTCCACAATTTGGAGTCCAGTTCCCCAGCACAAACGTTCAACATAGGAAATTTCTGATTCTTCCAATCAAAGAAAATGACATCGACTCCAACCACATTGTTGAACTCCAGGTTTCGAACCAGATGTCCAGGTCGTGGTAGTGAAGGTCGTTGTCGAGCCTCACAGATGGGACATTTGAACTCACTGCGAACCCAAGCGATGACTTCTGTTTTGGCTTGAGCATGTCGTAGAGCTCGCAGGAATGTCCACAAATCTGGATGGCCCAAATTCCTATGCAGTCTGAAAACTTCCCTGCGAAGGTTTGCAGGTATGGTGAGTTTGCCATCTTTTCTGACTTTCTCGATGGCATCTTCCGCAGCTGGTTGAATTTCATCTGATTCTGCCAAAGGGCGTAGCTTGTTTTGCACATTTTCCATCACAGGATCACCTTCATCTGCTTCATGTTCCAAAGTTGGCATGGGTTTTCGACGCAAAGTTGGAACACGGGCACTTCCGCCTCCCAAAATTCTGCTGGATGGAAAAGTGCTGAGCTGAGCTTTGCCCTGCAAAAAACAGTGAAAATCTTCTTGAAAATTGCTCTCCTCATTGATGTAGGTGGCCAACGGTTGTGACCAAACCTTCAACTCTTGTTCCACGGCATGAAAAAGTTCCATTGGCAAGTCTGGGCTGGTTGCTTGCTCAACTTGTTGACAAAAGATCACGCCGTGGTACTGGAGGTGATGCCGTAGGCCTCGAAGGATGGCCTGGACAAAGAGTCTGGTGTATCTTGCAGCATCGGCAGCACGTCCACCCATCAAGGATCTGTGAACATGACCCCCTTGGCATCTTTTGTGCAAAGTGCGAACCAGAGGAAAACAGTTGGTGATGAGCATGGTGGGCTTCTTGGCCAAAATGCCATCCCTTGTGACCAGCTTGAAGGCGCAAAGGTCCACCACAAACTCGTACACGGTTTTGCGCTCCTTCAGCTTACGAGCACGAGGGTGCTTCCATGACCATGCTTCCTTTGGATGCTCCAAAAGAAATCCTCTCTGGTTGTCATCCTGCTCCTCCGCAATCTCGAGAGCAAATTCCCAATGTTCAAGACCTTCCTCCTCCTCCAGTTGGACAACTTCTGGATCCCGCTTCGGTGAAGACAAATTCCGAAGCGGACTGAAAACGGTGCATGGAGGTGAGAGGATCACCAGGGCAGGCTTCCAGGTCTTGATCAGGTTCATCACGTGTTTGCGGGTTTTGGCATTCTTGAAGTCATAGCCTGTGGTGAGGTCCAAGGCTTGACCAACCCGCCACTTTGGTTTGATACCCTTCTGGTTCTGTTGTTTGGCCTCCAAAGTCACTCTCGGTGGGCTGTAGATTTCCATCACATCCACATGGGTGCTCACCGACTTCTGCAAAAAGATCTTCACTCCCTTTGGCAATGATAGGGGCTTGCATTGCCACTCCAAGTCTTCGGCAAAAAGGTTGTAGTTGTTGGAGTTGAGAGGAAAGACCATGCAGGTGTGGAGTTCTTTGGATCTCGGCCGAGCTTGCGGTGAAAAAGGTTCCCACTCTTCCTACTCGGAAGTTCTTTGAAACATATGTTGGGGCTGGCCCAACCAGTACGGGCATTGTACAAAGGATTGAATTCCAGGCATATTCCACGAAGCTTCGCACGTGGAAACAAAAGTCATCAGCAAAATGGCTGCCGTCTTTGAGGTTGAAGCCAATCTGCGTTTCAAGCCACCATCTTTGAGTTGATGGCTATGGATCAGTTTGGTGCTGACCCGCAAGTCCTTCACCTTCTCATCCGTCATGGATCCAAGATCTGCTCTCTTTCCATGGCTGTCACAAAGTCGTATTCGGTGCCCATCGCACCCATCACCAGCTCCCTCCGGGCCTCGGCATTCAGCCGTGCGATCTCCTCCTCGGTGAACTCCATTGGAACGTCCTCGTAGATCGGGTTCTCTGAGTCGCTGGCCAGCTCGAACATCTCTCTGGCACGACCCTCCAAACTTCCATGAGTCACCACCGGAGCCTTTGATCTCTGCATTGGGTTCAGGCCAGTCAGCCTGTCTGAGGTTCGGCCACGGGCTTTCAGGTGATTGGTCAAAGGCAACTGTTCGCCTGCTGACATGGACTGGGCCTCGTTGATCACCGTCACCTTCTGGGTTGGCAAATCTGGTCTGCTTCTTGGCGGTGGTAGGTACGTTGGATAGTTGGACTCCGTGGTCTGAACCACCTGTGTTGAACTTGAAGAGGTTGTTTCCAATCGTTCCCAACGTCCTCCACATTGAAGGCAGGTGTACCAAAAGTGACCTTTGCCAGCTCGGTGACGTAGATACTCCTCCTCGTGAGCGCAACTGCTCACCTCCCGATTCCACTTCTTTTGGGCTTGGGACCGGTTGAGAGGTTTGCCAATTGCTTGGCGGATCTTTGAGTCTGGATCCTTCTTTTTGCGGCCCGTCAGGTCCTTCTTTTTCTCCTCCATGTCTTCGGTGGCCATCGTGCCACGCTTGCTGATCAGGTATTCCATGACCATCTCTGATCGCGTGGTTGCCATCAAAGTCAGCAACGCTAGGACCACCCGGCGCCATCCCAGAAGCTTGTTGGCTTTCGGCTTCTGTTGCGTCTCGGTGTCCTCCATCTGCATCTGCTTTCGAACAGACTGGAACAGCGATGACATTCGGCGATGCCCTTCGTGAGCACAACTTGGTTGACAAAACGTCTTTGATGCCCTTGAGCATGGAGAAAGGCTGTGCTGTGGAAGTTTCAACAAAAGCTCGCATCAAAAGAGGTGCAAACGAAAATGACATTGGTGCCACTGCCGATCCAAAATCTTGTTTGTTGAAACTCTGCTGTACATCTGAAGGTGGTAAATCATCTGAACTTCGCAAATCATGACATGGAGAGTTGTCATGCAACTCAATCACAACATCATCAAACTGAGATAAATCAAAATGTTGAGTTTGCCCATTCCACCCAGCAGCTATTGAAGGCACCTGCATTGGCTGTGCGCTGGCTGCTGCTGAAGTTGCCGCCTGAGCAGGATCACATGGTGAAGACGTCAAAGTAGCTGTTGGGGTGATCACTGCATCGGGGACATTGGGGGCAAACATGGCAAAGTCAAAAATGTTGATGGTGTGCTCCATGCATGAAAAACTGGATGATGAACTCACTGGACATGATGTAGATTGATCTCCAGAAAGGCTTCTTTTGCCGCCATATTCACGACGAGCGTTGTCAGCCCATCTTGAGCTCGAACTGGATGAAGAGGCTGCTGCTGCCTGTGAAACATCGTGAGACACATGTCCAGGAAAGGCCATTTTCGATGATCTGTCCGCTTGAATGGGCGTAGCATTGGAGTCATCGGCTGGTGCTATCAAATGCTGTTTCGAAGCAAACACAACAGCACCATACCAAGGAGCCTGTGTGGCCCTCTTTGCATGTCGATCTTTCCAAAAGTCTCTGATGACTCGGTGTCGCCCTTCCGAAAAGATGTGGGTCAATCTTTCCGGCTCCAAAGCTTCTGGATCTTGAAGTCCAGGGCAATCTGATGGCACCACCATGCGGTTCTGGACCGGCAACTCCATCAAGAGGTTCATCTTGTCATCCACCAAGAGGTAGACCAAGACCTTGTTCTGGTCCGGCTGCTGCAAAACTGCTGCAAACGTCTGAGGCTGCGGTGGCAAAACAAATGGATCCACATTTGGGTCTCTTCGAAGGTTTCGTGGTAAATCCCATCCATCTGCAGAAAAATTCATAATGTCCACCGCTCTATGTTTTGTAGGCAGCTTTCTCATGGGGGTTGCTGAACCATCTTGAAGGATCAGTTGATCATTTTGACAGTCAATGGTGGCCCCAACGCTTTCAAGCCAGGCAATTGGAAGCAAAGGTGGTGTCCTATGATTGGGTCCATCTTGAAGAACTGTGAAAGGCAAAACGCCATTGGTGCCAGCAACACCAAGAGGCACGTTCACCACACCTTTCACAACTGCTGCACCACCAATTCCACCAGCACCTGGAAGAGGTCCTTGTTGAGGTTGCCAAACTGGTCGAAGGCCTCGACGGTTGAGCTCTCGCTCCAACTCAGCAAAAGCAACATCTCCTATGACGCCCTCTTCGGCTGCTGTGTAAAACCAATGCCTCATGGCCACGGCATTGCACTGTATGAAAAATCATCAACCTGTAAATTGGGTTGTCCGCTCCATCTGATGGTCTGCCAACAGAATGCATGAAAACTTGAGGGCCCGTGGCAGTCATCAAAAACTGTTTCCTTGGTAAGGAGGTTCCCGTTGAAGACCGAGGCTTGGGGTCTTGCTTGAAGGGGCAGTCTTTGGAAATATGCCCAAGCTCATCACAGTTGAAACAACGTGTGCGGCTCATCAAATCATCCTCATAGGACTTCAACACCTTGGAACCTTTGGAAAACTTTGATTTCCCTTTGCCCCAGGATTTCCATGCTCTCATTTTCAGTGTAAGTCTTGTCCTCGAAGTAGACAAATGGGTTTCCATCCTCATCCTGCGATGAGGAGCCAGTGGAATCGTCCTCGTCATTCTCAAGGTGCTCGTGCTCTTCAACCTCGCCAGCATCATCCCCAAACGTTGCAAAGTTACAAGTTGCTGCATTGGATCCTTGAGCTTTTGCAAGCATCTCTGGACGATCCAATGTTCGCAGCATTGTAGCAACTTCGTCAAACGTTCGAAGAACTGGTCCACGTAGCATGAGCATCTCTCGTTGAAAATCACTCAAACCAGCTTGTCTCAAAAGGATGCGACCACACAGTCTGTCTGAAATTGTTTCTCCCATCTGAGTTTCCATCTCCTGTCTAGCCAACTGCTTAGAGGCGATGAAAGCTGTAAAACTTTCAGACTTCTGTCGTTCACCTTCAAACAGAAACCTGTCAATCGCCTTTGGCGCAGAAGCTTCAAGGTATGGAAAGTACTTGTCGTAGATTGCACTCAAAACTGCACTGTAACCCTGAGGAGACGAAAGGGTCTGCATCGGCACAGTGTCGGCGATGCGCCGAGGTTCAGAACCTTCTGCAAAGCTCTGAAGCAATTTGACTCCTGTCCGTTCCAGCGGCATCTGAGATTCATGCTCCCACAAAGCCAGCAATTTCAAACACGAGCGAAGGGTGCTCGGGTGTCCATTCCAAACTGGTATGGAACGCTTTTCACCTGTAAGGGCTTGATGCAAAGCTTGTGAAAGAATCTGATTGGAGTGCGCAGGGTTTGAAGGCATACTTGGGCTCGTAGGGTCAAAACCTTGCTGCTGCATATGGCCTTGTGGCCTTGCACTACCCAGTAAGTCAAATGCCGAGCTCTTCATAGATCCCGGAGTTGCAGAAGAAAAGGCTGCTGCACCAAAACCAGAATTAGCCTGATTAGGGCCTACAGTTCTGTAAGTGGCCCCACCAGCTGTTGCAGTCATCGGCACTGAAAAACCAGGATGAAACATCGGTTGCTGCATTCCGTTAGGATATTGCGTCGGTTGAAACTGAGGTACAGCCCTCGCAGAAGCATCCATTGATCTTTGATCAGTCATTCCATGAAGTCTTCTATACAACGTCCATGGGTCTTCTGCAGGGTTGGTTTCATTACCAGGTCCACTCATCGCAACGTAGCTCCGCTCACCACTGTAAAGGTGAGATGTTTAGAACACCATGCCAAGCACAGGTAAAACAACTAGCGCAAGTGCAAGCGCTTTTTCTCGGGGGAACTTGCGTCACCATACAGCTCAAGGCCTATTGCCCATGGAGCCAGAATGTTAAGGGATCATGGCATCAATCAAATATGGCTCATGCTGTTGCGTGAGATGTCACATCCACTTCCACACATCACGCCGTTTCCCAACCAGGAAGCCCATGAGCCACAGGGTGAAGGTCATCATCATCGTCACCGCGAGGAAGGGAAGCACATAGAGCCAGCCAGCTTGTTTCCAGGCATAGGGAATCACCAAGATTCCAGATCCTGGGATTTGCTTCAAAACATGGACCATCTTCACTATCTTCCCGGTTTCCAGTTTCTATTTTGCTTTATCAGAGGAAAACAAAACAAATCATCCGCAAATCATCCGCAAATCATCAGTAAAAATCCTCATGAAATCGCAAAAGTTTTTTCATGAAATCCAATGGTCCCATATAGGCATTCAGCATGGTCACGATCGTTTCCCCCAGGGACGAACCCTTCGCATTGCCGTGTCCCTTCAGCAGCCCGGCTCTGTCCGAGGGGTAGCTTTCAAGTTCGGCGGAAAGTCCTGCCGTGGCGAGGGGATGGAACATGAATTTATCCGTTTCTTTGTGCATCTGTTCATCTGTTTTTTGAGACCCAAAAATAGAAAAACAACATCTTCCAACTAAAATAGTGATAATTTGCTGTTGAAAATCAAATATGTATATTCATTTATTTATTATTTGTTCATTCATTATTCATGTATTTATTTATCCTCATAATGGCCAGGACCAACAGAAACATCAAAGGAGTCTATATATATATATGATTAGTGGGAATATAAAAAACATTGACAAATAGTACTCTGGATTACTCTGGCGATTCTTGCTTACATTTCCCGGATCCCCCGCTATGGATAAAGTTTTAAAAAACCTATACCCTCTGGTTAACAATACAGCTAAACGTTTAATCATAACATGTTTTAATTAGCTTATGGAAATTTACATGAAAAAATCCAAGACGTGCAAATATCCCAGTCGTATCCCAATTTGTTTCTGCTGGACAAATACTCACTTAAAACTCATGAAAAAAGACTCAAACTGACCACCAGTCGCCACCACTCGGCTTGAACTTGACCCCGGAAGGCTCGGTTTTGGCCCGCTCCGCTCTTCGCAAGGACTGGCGGGGAAATGCCAAAGATCCATCTGGAGTGCGGAGGTTGGTGACCACCGCAAAACTGCCGAAGTCTTGACTTGGAAGATTGTATCCTGTCAGGAGATAGCGAGACGCCCAAATAATGGCTATATATGCGTCCTCAAGGATGTAAGCTGCACTTGGAAGAAACTTGGATTCCTCATGATTGCTCTTAGTGTCCTTCACTGATATATTTGTTGTTTCCAATTGTGTCCAATCAAAAAAAGGGGTTGGTGCAGATTTTACCTTCAAATTCTGACAACCGTTTGAAATTCTTGGGTTTGCTTGAATTATATAGGAACGAAACAGGGACAGGCTCCTCTGTCCGATGCCTACATGATTTCAAGCTGACTATGTCCTGTGTTAAAACTACGTTTCTAGAATCCTAATTCTTGTCTATTCGTTTAAGCACTCGTATCGTATATCTCTCTCCATCGCTATCTTCGGGGGTCTATATTTTGATAAACATGTGGATTTTCCAACCAACCTTTGCAAGTACGATAATCATTCGACAACCTGAAAACATCAGGAAGATATGGGATTGTTGCCCTTATGATTCCCATCCTTCTGGATAAATCAGAACAATTCACCTGACAAGTTCGGCCAATTGGGGACAATTCCCCTCACTAAGTTACATCCAGTGACATCGCAGCGGGGTCAGGACCATTCATTGATCCAGATTTGAAAAATGATATTCCAATATCCCCATGACCAATCCATCTAATGCATGGTTAATATCATGCGATGTTATTAACCATGTCTGGTGTTTAATGATTATATCATATCACTATATAACCATGATATACCATGATAACCATTCTGCTGAGTAAGGTCATGGGATACCCAATTGAATGGTACAAGTAGGTCACTCTCTCTAAACCAATTTATAACCACGATAACCATTTCCATCATAAAATTCACCGACATATCCACACTCGTGATGATATGATTCATTGAAATACCATTGAACCATTTTATGAACCACAATGGTATTCCCATCCTGACCCTGCAATCCATGGTTAAGTCCCCTCCCTGAACGGTGACTTAGTCAGGCTGCGTTGGAAGGGATAGGGATGGACTTGGCACGTGTCATAGGTCACCGGTCGGTAGTCTTCCTTGTAGAACATCAGGAAGTAGTTCACCTAGGAAAATACAGTGGATTGTTCACCCAAAACATTGTGGTTTAACATGGTTTAACATGGTAGAAATCAGGAATCAAAGTTCTTAAAAAATTCTCCGCCCTACTGAACCCGCCAGTTTATGTGGATGTCTGCAGGATATTGGGATTGGTTGGGTTCGGTTAAATGTGATACTAGTTTATATAAAAGACATTTCTCGGGGGATGAGGATAAGAACATCTAAGAAACATGTAAGAGCTTTAGCGGCACTATGATCGGAGATGGTATGATGGATATATATAAATATATATATATACTGGTTGGTGGTTTCAACCCCTCTAAAAAATATGAGTTCGTCAGTTGGGTCCTCATCCCAAATATTTTTGTCTGGACAATGAATCTACACACAATTGGAGGCTATTTTTTTGATCAAAGAGTATCAAAGTTTCCCGACCCAGCAAAGTAGCTATGCTATGGGCAGAACCCAAGGAAAATCCAAACAACCTATTTACGTAAAAAATGCTTGATCATCAAGAAGTACGACAGTTGGATCTGGTGCAGAAAGATCAAAGGGGGTTACAAACACCAAGGCCGCAGGTTGAAGTGGGATCCTACCCTCTGGTTATGTCAAAATAGCTATTGAAAATGGCCATAGAAATAGTGAGTTTTCCCATTAATAGCATGGTGATTTTCTATAATCATGTTAGTTTACCAGAGAGTAAATCCCAAGAACCTGAGAACAATCTTAGAATGACTGACTGTGGGTTTACATCATGATCTTTGGTACAAGTGTACGATAGTGTACGTGATACAGTGGATGGTTGCAAAATCCTGCACCACCAAAAGGATGGTTGAAACCCTATAAATAGTGGGATGTTTACCACCTACCCAGGATTTCGCAACCATCCACCGTATCATCATTGTACATGTCATGAGGGAAGCTCTCAGCAGTCTCCTTAACTCCCAAGATAGAGCTCGGTCACACCGCTGGAGACCAGCTGGAAGACTAAGTCTGGATCGACGTAGCTGATGGGTCCGAATAATGAAACTGCCACATCAACATCCTCAAGGGTTTCATCTGGCCCAAAAAATGGCCCATGAAACTCGCAAAAGACATCTTAGAATTCTGAGACTTATGAGCATTGAACATGTCATATCTAATGTAGGATGAGAAATTAAGCTAACGTACTCAGATACTACATGTTTACATCTAGATAGTCATAGATATAGATATAGATTAGCATGGCGCTCTACCACGTTTTCTTTAGAGCTATTTTGTCCAAGTTTGGGTAATTATTGTCCCTAGGTTTGGTAATTATTGTCCCCAAGTTTGGGGAATTATTGTCCCTAAGTTGGAACAAAAATTCCCCAAAAGTTGGGACAAAAATCTTATCAAATTAGGACGATATTGGCCCTCCAGGTCCTCCAAATCTTCTGCTCCAAAGGCCTGAAAGCCAATCCAATGAAGCTTCCCCAATGGGAGGGATTTAGTATGAAACCACACACACCAAAAAAAAAATCTTCCCATAAGTCTGAAATTTTGACATCGTCCTGCCCCATTCCTTGGGAGAAAATTCCAAAATCCTATTTTGGAATAGTAATTAAACTATTTACAGTGTTCTAACTTACTACGGTTTTTTATCCTTTTGACATCTGTTCCAATTTTTGTGGGGGTTCCACAAAAAAATGAGCCGAAAAAACTGTCCCCAACATCACCCAACATCCCAAAATCAGCCTTTTTCTTGGTCTCATGCTCCGGAAACTTGCTCTGCAACTCCTCCAACATCTTCTCGGAGTGATCGATGCCGAGGTAATCCTCCGGCTGCAGAGCTAGCAGCTCCAGCAATAGCCCAGTGCCACAGCCCAGGTCTAGGACTTTGCAACCGGGAGCCACGTACCTGGAGGTAAGCAGCAACCAAAAGGGAGCTGTTACCATCAAGTTCATCTGGATTTATCATGATTTATCCAAACAATATAGGGGATTTGAGCTGATTCAACTATCAAACATGATGCTTTTACCTAAAAGAATGGGGATGTACCATATACATAGGATATATATATATAACTATCGCCAGTTGGGATGGTTCAGGCTACGCACTTCTTACTCTGATTCGTCAAAAATTCGATGAAATCCAGGGACCCAGAGCAAGTCGTTTGGGTACCCCAAAATTTCACCCAAAAATCACCTCATGGGCCCCATGGGCCTGCTAAGTGTTTAATGGTGAATGTTAACGTATGTTAACATAGCCCTAAAGGATGTAGTTGTTTGATGTTGTTTGATGTTATTTGTAGTTTATGTGTTTGTTCTTGTACCCTGTACCCGCACCTGCCAAATCTGCCAAGAAACTCTCTCAAGAATCCCGCAATCGCTAGATCCTCCTGTAGACTTTTAGGGTCCTTGTGGAGTGAATCATACTGGGCCGCAATCGTCGCATCATAGTCACAGCCGCCATAGGATGCTGACCCCTCTACGACTTCCATGATTGGATTCCTAGCGAAGGAAGATGTTGCAATGGCAACACAAAATCGGGCGTATTGTAACGGTCAGCGAAGAACCGCAAAACGGCTGCGAAGATATCCCACTCATCATGGACTCATATTAATGTGTCATCACCATTACAACATATTACAACTATCACCAGTGACACAACCCTACCTCCCAAGTTTTTCAACTGGCCTGCCTTCACACAACCTGGTGAGAGAGGTGGTCAAGAGATGTTAAAATGGCATCCGGTCGCAGGAGCACCGGCAGCCGTCGGCTCTAGACAAAGAAATCACAGCAAAGGCCATCTCAATTACAGCTGAACGGAGTGGTCACTGCGTCTGTGCATCTGTACATTTCGCAGATGAACCATTTCAACGGGGCACTGGTTTTAAGAATGCGGAAAAATCCAAAAAATGAAAGTCGCAAGAGTGGCTGCACATCAGAAAGGTTTGGTCAAAATCACCAGCTCACTTAGGGATGCACCACCACTAATTCCAGTTTGTTGCTGAGTAAATCAGCAAACAGGGCTGCGGGTGAGCCAAGGTATTCAATTAGTCAATGCTTCTTCAATTAGTCAATGCTTCACCTTATGCGACGTCGAGTCCCAGCTGATTCGACACCTTTGCTCTGTTCAAGGGGGCCACTAAAACGAAACACGTAATCCCAATATAGATTCCCAACTGCGAAATAAGCCAGGTAGATTCCAAGTTCCTTATTTTCCTATAGTAGTCCGATTGATCATCATAAGAAAAGAATCCCAGTATTGAAGGGAAAATCGGAAAACCATAGGAAACCGCTAGAGATTTGGATGGTTTGGGAATAAAAACAACTAAAATCCATGGTTTGCAATACATGTTCCGTTCAAAAACATGGTTGAAACACAGTTAAAAGCCAATAAAACCAGGGTTTCCTACAGATTTTCTCTTCAAGAAAACATGTTTCTTCACTTTTCCTGCCGATTTTCAGCAAATCCATGGCACATTCTCCAACACAGCCGCCACAGTTGCAACCAGGCCAGAGATAGCGAAGCTGACGATCAGCAACCAAAGGATGCAACTTCGAAAGCCTCCCATGGTGAAATGATGTGAAAGGTCACAGAAATTTACTACCCTCTGGTAAACGTTTACGTAAGTATGGAAAATCACCATTTTTCATGGGAAAACTCAATATTTCTATGGCCATTTTCAATAGCTATTTTGACATAACCAGAGGGTATAGGTTTTTTTAAACCATCAGTTGATTAAACCAGGGAGACTATGATGATATGGGATTGTCTGAAAAAAGAAGGTGTATCCCCAACTGGGAATGTTCAAAAGAGGAGAATGCTGATTACCCAGTTCATTTTACATATGTAGAGGTACCCTATTTTCAGACAAATTCATATATATATATATATCGAACTATATAGTAAAAAGCAACACAGCAGGTTCATATTCACAGAAGAAGAAAACTGCTCAGTAGTGATAACCATTTGCCAAAAAATATCCCACACATTTCCTTGCAAATGGGAAGCCCTACGAATTTCAAAGAAACACACGCGTCTGCGATAGATCACTGGTAATTTGTTGGCTATTGGAAATGGTCCATTCAGTTCGTTGATTTACCTATTCCAAATGGTGATTTTCCAGTTCGCTATGTAAACGTTGTGGGATATGTAAACGTTGTAAACAATCTTGGCGTTGAGCAAATCATCCAATGTATAAACCAGGGAAAATCTGGGGAAATAAATGAATATATCGGAAAACATGGAATTTTTGATGGATTTTGGGATTATAGTGGTTGGTGGTATACCTACCCCTCTGAAAAATATGAGTTCAGTTGGGATTATGACATTCCCAATGTATGGAAAATAAAATTCATGTTCCAAACCACCAACCAGGTATCACCCATATTTGGTAGAAGTAACCGTTGCGCGAACCATTCTGCTAACCACAAAATAAGGCCCACCTCTGATTTATAAATAGGGCCCCCCCTGTCTTTTCCCCTAAATAGACTTAAAGCCACCATCAAACTTGTTTGTATGTATTGGTTTTCAATTACCACAAATTAAAACAAGTACATAAAATGCAATTTCAGAAAAAAAAGGAATCCAACAATTGTTTTAGTATTGATCTAGTCCTCATTTCATGGATTTACAGTAATATTGATTTAGTATTCATGTCATGGATTTAGTATTGATTTATATTCATGCCATGGATTTAGTATTAATTTAGTATTCATGTCATGGATTTAGTATTGATTTAGTATTCATGTCATGGATTTAGTATTGATTTAGTATTCATGTCATGGATTTAGTATTGATTTAGTATTCATGTCACGGATTTAGTATTGATTTAGTATTCATGTCATGGATTTATTATTGATTTAGTATTCATGTCATGGATTTAGTATTGATTTAGCATTCATGTCATGGATTTAGTATTGATTTAGTATTCATGTCATGGATTTAGTATTGATCTAGTACTCATGTCATGAATTTAGTATTGATTTAGTATTCATGTCATGGATTTAATATTGATTTAGTATTTTTTTCAGCCCCATCTGGGCAAATCTGGGTTTAGGGCAAAAAAAAAGCTTAATTCAGGGTCAAACTCTAATTAGTGCTAAGGCACCTCATGGGGGGCACCCTTGACGAGTTGATTTGGGATTGATTTTGGATAATTTTGAATAAAGGATTTGAATAGAAAGAGCATCCATGATTTTTGAAAATTTAAAGTTATCAAGGTAAGATCTAATGAGCTGGCAGTATGAATTAGTACATGAAAGCCACCTCAAATAAAGCATGGACATTTTTTTTCAACCCCATCTAGGGCCAAAAAAGTTTAGCTTTATTTAGGGGTCATTTATTATTTGTTTTGGGAGTTTGGTTAGCTTTATTCAGGGGGCATTGAAAAATCTTAGGTCAACATTAATTCCCTTTTTACATCCTTTGTCTGTAAGCCTTGTACCAGCCTTTGGAAATCAAACGTGGCATTTTAACATTCCCCATTTATGTGTATATATATATATATATCAGAAGAACGTGTTTGGTCCCCCCAATGCAGTTGAACACGAACATTATTAGGGGGCTTGTGAAACGTGCACAGCTTCTGTGAAAAGTGCAGAACTTTTGTGAAACCTGCACAACTTCTGCCAAACGTGCACAACTGCTGGAAAACGTGCACAACATCTCTGAAACGTGCACAACATCTCTGAAACGTGCACATATAGAATACTTGAAAACACTGGGTGGGGGAGGTGATATAAGTTAGCTCGGGGCTTGCCCATCTTCCAAATATCTAACCACCCACATTTTTCCCATATGTATATATACTGTGTATATATATATATATACCTTCTGGTAATTTAACATAGCTATGGAAAATCACCATTTTAAATGGGAAAATCCACTATAAATGGCCATTTTCAATAGCTATGTTAGTTTACCAGAGGGTAACTTTCCCATTCAAACCTCCATTTATTTCGGGGATTTGACCCGTTGACATGGACCAGCAAGGCCAACCTCCCAAGTCTCCATGCAGCTTCAGCAAGGCCGCGCACGGCAGCACGGCACACATGAAGTTCTGTGGCACGATGCCCACCTAGCCATGAACACAAATATGCAATATTTATACGTGTAAATACAAACTAATCTACATATGTATATATATATATATGTATACATATGTATAAACATGTAAAAAAAGTATAAATATGCATATGTAATGTATATATATATATATATTATATATACTTACAAATGAATATATATATATGTACATATTTATATATATGTATGAATATACATACACATATAAATATATACATATATTACATATACATACATATACGTAAATATTAATATATATATGTGTATATGCATACAAATATGTATACAAATGTAAAAAAAAGTATATACACATGTCTGCGCCTGTGTATGTAGTGTTTATGTATAGTGCACTATGTGTCCAAAGATGTTGAATGCTGGTGTTCTTATCTACCTGTTCCTGCCGTGACATCATCTCATCACTGGCTCCGAGGGGTTGGCCCAGCCACGAGTTCGATCACAAAGGCTACATCATCGTGGAGGAAGAGGCACAGGCAGGCGGTGACCAGAGAGAAGAGGACCTTCGTCCAGCAGCCCAGGTGCAAGCACTCCTGGAAGCCCCAGGGAAAAAAACACCAACTGCAGGGGATTCCAGGTCTTTTTTTTTGGGAAAAGATGAGCCAACTTGAAAGATCCAATTGATTACAAACCTAAACCCCTCCAGCACAAAACTTACCCAAAAAATAAAACGAAACATCGCAGCAACCAAAAATCATCCAAAATCTCCTCCAAAGGCCCCAGGATGGGAGCTGCCAGCAATGGCACATTCACCAGCAACTTCAGCGTCACGCTGATCAGGCAGAGGGCACTCATGGCACCGTTGAGTTCTCCTGGTAGCAGCTGCAGGTTCAATGGACTGCGGCCCATATTCATAGGGAAGGACAGCGCTGTGCCATCGCCGAAGAAACCTGGACGAAAATCGGAAAGGTGGGACTCAGGACTTGCAAACTCGGTCTTGGACAGGTCTTGGATCGAGATAGATGATATATACTAGATGGTGCTATATATATATATACATAAATATGTATATATATATATATATGGTATTGTATGGTGCTATTTGCTATATATATATATGGGGGTTGTCCAAAATACCTTTTCCCGGACAGCCCTCAATCGCTCAGCCAATCGCGTAGCAACCGCGGTACCACAGTGAGCAATCGCGGAAGGGTTTGTTCTTCGTTGATCAGATCATATACATAAAATATAAGTTATGTATTATATAATGAGGATCCATGCGTGAACGCATTCGATTTCAAATTTGGGAACAAAATAAGCTCGCGCGGTCCGGAAACGGTCCGGAAAACTCACAGTAGTACCAGCAGCAGTAGTACTAGTAGTACTAGTAGTACTAGTAGTACTAGTAGTACTAGTAGTACGTAGTAGTCGTAGTAGTAGTAGTAGTAGTAGTAGGAGGGGTAAGAGTAGGAGTAGGAGTAGGAGTAGGAATAGGAGAAGGAGTTCTAGTAGCAGGGCAAGGGAAGAAAGGGAGAGGGAGGGAAAGAGAGAAAGAGAGAGAGAGAGGGAGGGAGGGGGAAACAGATGGTTGCGTTTGACCGGTTTCTGACGGGTTTCTGACTGGTTTCTGACTCGTTTCTGACCCTTCAGCGGAACTCGTGTCAATTGGATTTAAAAGCAAGAGCAGAAATTCCTAGGTGTACTAGTGGTAGTGGTGGTGCAGTAGCAGCGGGTGTGGTGGTAGTACTAAGAGTAGTAGCAAATCTAGTAGTGGGAGTAAGGATCCATGCGTGAACGCATTCGATTTCAAATTTGGAAGCAAAATAAGCTTGCGCGGTCCGGAAACGGTCCGGAAAACTCACAGTAGTACCAGCAGGACTAGCAGTAGCAGTAGCACTAGCAGTAGTGGTAGTGGAAATTGCAATAGAAGTAGGCGTAGGAGTTCTGATGGGAGGGTGAGGGAATAGGCAAGGGGGAGAGAGAGAGAGAGAGAGTTTGGCCGGTTTCTGACGGGTTTCTGACTGGTTTCTGACTGGTTTCTGACTCGTTTCTGACCCTTCACACGATTGCAATTGGATTTAAAAGCGAGAGCAGAAATTCCTAGGTGTACTAGTGGTAGTGGTGGTAGTGGTGGTGCAGGGTGGTGCAGTAGCAGCGGGTGTGGTGGTAGTGCTGGGGGTAGTAGCAAATCTAGTAATGAGAGTAAGGATCCATGCGTGAACGCATTCGATTTCAAATTTGGGAGCAAAATAAGCTTGTGCGGTCCGGAAACGGTCCGGAAAACTCACAGTGCACTAGCAGTAGCAGTAGCACTAGCAGTAGTGGTAGTGGAAATTGCAATAGGAGTAGGCGTAGGAGTTCTGGTAGGAGGGTGAGGGAATAGGCAAGGGAGAGAGAGAGAGAGGTTGCGTTTGGAGTAGGAGTAGGAGTAGGAGTAGAAGTAGGAGTAGGAGTAGGAGTAGTAGTAGTAGTAGCAGTAGTAGCAGTAGTAGTAGCAGTAGTAGTAGTAGCAGGAGTAGTAGTAGTAGTAGTAGTAGTAGTAGTAGTAGCAATGATAAGAGCTGAGGTGGATGGATGGATGGATGGATGGGATGCTAGGCAAGCGCTGCCTTTTTGGTGTTTCTGACCTGTTTCTGACCTGTTTTCATTTGGAGCTAGCTTGAATGTCCTTCTGACCTGAAAACATCTGCGCGGATTCCGCGCGCGCGGAATCCGCGCGGCCATGTCAATTATTGGCATGGTTCTGGTCTCGAAAGTAGTAGTAGTAGTAGTAGAAGTAGTAGTAGTAGTAGTGGTAGTAGTAGTAGTAGTCGTCGTAGTCGTCGTAGTCGTAGTAGTAGTAGTAGTAGTCGTAGTAGTAGTAGTAGTATTAGTAGTAGTAGTAGTAGTACTAGTAGTACTAGCAGTACTAGTAGTAAAAGTAGTAGTAGTAGTAGTAGTAGTAGTAGTAGAAGTAGTAGTAGTAGTGGTAGTAGTAGTAGTAGTCGTCGTAGTCGTCGTAGTCGTAGTAGTAGTAGTCGTAGTAGTAGTAGTAGTACTAGTAGTACTAGCAGTACTAGTAGTAAAAGTAGTAGTAGTAGTAGTAGTAGTAGTAGTAGTAGTAGTAGTAGTAGTAGTAGTAGTAGTACTAGTAGTACTAGCAGTACTAGTAGTAAAAGTAGTAGTAGTAGTAGTAGTAGTAGTAGTAGTAGTACTAGTAGTAGTAGTAGTAATAGGGTGGTAGCCGTATAACCAATCGCCAACCAATCGCTCAGCCTATCGCGATGCAGGTTTTAGCAATCGCGCAAAGCAAAGTAAACGCATCAATTCATAAATTTGTGACCTGCTTTTACGGACGGCTCCCATATATATATATGCATAAGTCTGCACATGTTAAATTTCAAGCTTCATTCTTTTTTTGAGTGCAAAATGTAACCAACTTGTTGCAATCATCCCAAAAGGACGCCCAACTGAGATCAACTTCTCTCAAGCGCAACGACCAAGAAGCTGTAGCACAGCATTGCAAGAGCCGCAAAAAATGCCGCCGCAAGGCCCGTGCTGCACAGTACAGCTTGGCTCCATCGGGAGCGGTCCTCAACGGGATCAACCTTTATCATCACCACACAGTGGGAGGGTCCCACATCAAAACACAGCGTATCCCACCTCCATCAGCTGATAAACCAAGGGCGCCTCTGAATGCACCATGAAGGTGTAAATGGCCACCCCTGCTGCTGGGGGAAGTCCTGCCCAGTTCACCATCACCTGACAGGGAATTTTATTTGTTTTCAAGGCGATTTTAACGGGATGTCATGGGATTTAATGGTGATCGAAGGAAGTTTAGAAGTCAAACTTCCGACAATATCGACAGATGAAAAGCAGAGGTGGAGCAGAAGAATAGAGAAGAGAAGAGCAGAAGAGAGAAGATCAGAGAAGAGAAAGAGTCAGAAGAAAGAAGATGCAGATGCGCGAAAAGGTAAGAAAGTCGCGAAACACTGCGTGTTTCCAATGATTTGAAGCTCCGGAGGGTCGAAAAGTAGACTCGCTAAAGCGGCGGGTGCGGAGCCAGCTGGCCAGATGAGAGATGAAAAATTGCACGCCGTTGTGGCGCGAAGCACATTTCGAAGTCAAAATGTTAAAAACACCACATGTTCGCGCCACTTTTGGAT